GAAATTCCTCAATCAAATGTTACAAAGGACTCGTTCAATGCCATAACATTTAAGCTAACAAAACAAAACTCAAAACAAACTTTCTATTTTTTAGTAACCTAAACTTCCACTTTTTCTTACACCATAAACACTATACCAAATAAAAATTCTAAAGAAACAAAAATTAAAATAACATAAAAACTACTGCTACACTCTCTCTTGTTTTTTTTTTCTTTTGTATATGAGAAATCTCACGGCGGAGATAACCGGTCTCCGGCCACCACCGTAATGTCGACATATCCTTCACCATTACCGTCGCAATCTCCACCGGAACATTACGTCACACCGCCTCTCACGGTGATCCTCACCGTGGTTCTCCTCGTCTTCTTCTTCATAGGTTTCTTCACTCTCTATTTTTGCAAGTGTTTCCTCGATACAATGATGCAAGCTTGGCGTCTCCACCACGGTGGAGTCACTGAAGCTGACGATAATCCTCTTCAACCACCCGAAGCTCCTCCGGTAAATCCCGGCCTCGAACTTCGGATCATAAACTCGTTCCCTACTTTTCCTTATTCCTCCGTTAAAGATCTCCGAGAAGAGAAATACGGCCTCGAATGCGCCATTTGTTTACTCGAATTCGACGGCGATCACGTCCTACGTCTCTTAACCTCGTGTTATCATGTTTTCCACCAAGAATGTATCGATCTTTGGTTCGAATCTCATAGAACTTGTCCTGTATGTCGCCGTGATCTTGATCCTCCTCCTCAACCACAAGAAAACACTAACACAAATCTTTCTAACGTCGATGAAATGATCATCGACGTGATTCAAGAAACCGACGACGACGATGATCATAATCAGACAACAACACCGATTGATACTTGGCCTTCTTCAGGACAGAGTAGTTGTATCAAAAAGGAGCAAACTTTACCTGAGAAATTCTCGAGATCGCATTCTACAGGACATTCGATAGTGAGAAACAAACCAGAGGAAGAAGATAAGTATACATTGAGATTACCAGAACATGTGAAGATTAAGGTTACAAGAGGACATAGCCAAACAGAGAGTTGTGTTACTTTTGCAGAACTTGTTAGAAACAGAGGATATGATCATCGCCGGTTTGGTGAAGTTTCCGGTCAAACACCGGTTAAACAACCGGAAAATTGAAGAAGTTAATTTATACATGCATTTAGTTCTTTTTTTTTTTCTTGTTGTTGTACCGATTATAATATATCTTTTAGGTAGGATTTTTCATGAGTTGAGATACTAATTAGTGTTATTAGTGATTTTTATTTTTGTTTTAAATATCTTAATAATAAGAATGAACAATTTATCTTTAATGGTACAACTAAACCAATTTCTGTGTGAATGACAAACAAACAAAAGTCAATTTTTAGTCTGAGTTTTAACATTCAAATGAATTAAACTACGTAAATACCAGCGTTATACGCGAGACAAAATGACTATCAAGTAAATCAATATATTTTTAAATAAAAAGCCAATTGTAAGTTTTTTTTGTTTTTTTGTTCAAAAAAGAAAACCAATTGTAGTTATTAAGAAAATTATTAAACAAAACAGAGAACCCGTTTTATTTTTGAATTTTGAGATCATTTTGTAAAGATATGTGTTCCAAACAACAAATTTTTAAACTTTATTCAATAAAAAAATCATACATATATAAGATCAATCATAATTAGTGATACATCGAATACTTTTTAAAAGTTAAGTATATTAATTTCCTTAAATTTGTGTCAAACTTTGTGATATATAACACTTAATCAATAAAATGCTTTGAATTTATATCATAATATTTAAAGATATCATTTATGACTCAAATATACAAAAAGGAATATTATGTATATCTCCGTAAATAGAACAACAAAATCATTTAAGAGAAATTTGCTTAATTTTGATTTTTGACCCAAAAAAAGAAATTAATATCGATTCAAAATTTTAATAAAGTTCACGTAATTGAATTGAATCAAAATTTTAAAAACAATATTCACGTAATTGACATATCATCTATTCCAATTTATGTGGTTTCCTTTGGGGCAATTACAAAAATGTCATTTTTTGTATGCACATTTGCAAGAATGCCATTTAGAGATGTCCATTTGCAAAAATGCCACT